TTGTAAAAGGAGTAAATATTCTGCATGGCCTCATCACTGGCCAGGAACATGAGAGCTGCCATGAGTTCCTCTGCTTGAACTTTTTTTAAGATAGGCAAAAGTAGCATAAATTCTCATTGTCCAGAAGAAGCCCATTTTGACCAATGTGCTAGTGTGACTTCTGAAAGAAGAAGGATTTTCTAATCCTCATTACCCAATTTTTTCCCAAAGCCCTAAAAATGGCTTTTTCATGCAGTTCTCTTTGAAAGATATCCTGTATCTGGTTCTATTTCCTTTTTAGGCAGTACATTCAAGATGATAATTGTGTAAAAAATGTTTCTTCATCTCTTGGTCTCTCTCTAGTTCTTTTCCCTGCCCTTTGGTTACCATCCCACTTACCAGTAGAAACATTTTCCTAAATCTATCAAAATGCCATGGTGACTCAGCGGTTAGCACTGCTCAGTGGTTAGCACTGCTGCCTTACAACGCCACGGACCTGGGTTCGATTCCACCCTTGGGCGACTGTCTGTGTGGAGTTTGGACATTCTCCCCGTGTCTGCGTGGGTTTCCTCCGGGTGTTCCAGTTTCCTCCCACAGTCCAAAGATGTGCAGGCTAGGTGGATTGGCCATGCTAAATTGCCCATAGTATTCAGGGATGTGTAGATTCGGTGGGTTATAGGGGTGTGGGTCTGGGTGGGATGTTCTGAGGGTGGGTGTGGACTCGTTGAGCCAAAGGGCCTGTTTCCACATTGTAGGTATTTTGTGATCTATAATTATGAACATTCCTTAAATCCCCCACTAATCATCTGTGCTCTCAGGAAAATAACCTCAGCTTTTTAAGTTGTGCCATACTAAAGCTCTACATTCTGGTAGCATTCTAATAAACAGCCTCTCATTGTTCTGAAAGGCCTTCAGTAACCATCTAGAAGTGCCCTGTATTGAGCACAATACTCTGGATGAGGCCTAACCAATAACTTATAAAGATTTCACACATATGTTTATAGCTAGATCTCTAGTTGTGACATAAAGGGTTCTGTATACATTTTTAATAACTTTATAAAACTTCCTTGCTGTCACTCAGGATACTGCAAAGGCTATGGACTCTCATAACATTCTGCAATAGCGCTCAAGACCTGTGTTTTAGAACTAACTGTTCTCGTAGCCAAGCTAGCATCTACTCAGCAATGTGAAAATTTGCCTGGATACATCCTGTCCACAGAAATCAAGACAAATCCAACTTGACCAATAACTGTCCCATCAGTCTACTTTTAATCATTGAAGTTATGGAAGGGGCTGTCGACACTGATATCCAGTGGCACTTACAAAGCAATTATCTGGTTACTGACACTCAGTTTGGGTCCTGCTAGGCCGCTCAGCACCTATCTTCATACCAATCTTGCCCAAACATGGACAGAAGAGCGGAGTTCAGGAGGGGAGATGAGAATGAATTCCCTTGATGTAATTTTACTGAGTATGGCTTCAAGGAATTCTAGCAAAATTTGAAGTCATTGGGAATTAGGGGAACAACTCTTCACTGTATGGATTTGCCCCCAGCACAAGGGAAGATATTCTGCTTGTATTGAGGCCAATTCATTCATTACCAAGACATTGCTATTGCTGAGGTTAGTGACTGGGTCCAAACATCTTCAGTATATTTCTGAAAGACAGGCATGCTGTTGAAGCTTTGCATCTTTCACTTAACTAAAAATTAAAAATAAACATGTTAACTAAAATACATGTACAAAGATTTAAAGTAAGATAAGTTAAGTATGAAGATGGGAATAAGGTGAATCTCTAATATTGTTGCAGGCCTAGCTTTCATGATTCCCTTTCTGAAAGGAAGGGATTGTTGGATTCAGCAATTGTGATGGATTGTATAATCAAAGTCAGAGGTTGCTCCTACACGTGGAGTAAACAAATCAGGTCTTGAGAATGAGTGGGTGAAGGTTCCTTGTTTCACTTTCATAGGACAACAGGTTTTGGTTTTTGGTAGCAGAGATCAATGGAGGATTGTGTTATTGGGTTTGTTATCAGTCCCTCTCTGCTCCAAACAGTTTCTGTTTTAAGGTCTCTCTCTCATGGTATTCAGATGGTTCAGCTGAAATCCCTGCTCAAAATGGCCTTCCAAGTGAGTTTTGATTTAATACTGTTCAAAACTTAAAAGTAGCTTCTATTACAGACTGTTGAATTATATTTTCATGTTAGGCATTGGGGTAGTGAAGGCCAGAACATAGCTACATCCACTATTCTTTAGCCAAGGTAATTAACTTTTAACTGTTTAGGCCATTAATTGAATAGATCCCATTCTTTCAGGTTTTGATGAGATGAGGAGAGCTATTCACAACTTGAGGGGTAAATGGACAATTTTGGAATCTTGAATTATTTGATAAATCTTTGGGATTGATTCCGAATATAACAGTCTTATTGCTTACTTTGGCCACAGTTGAATCCACGAGAGGTCTTGTGGCATTTATAAATTCCTTGTGCCCACTCTAGGCCCGAAACGTCAGCCTTCCTGCTCCTATGATGCTGCTTGGCCTGCTGTGTTCATCCAGCTCTACACCTTGTTATCTCAGATTCTCCAGCATCTGCAGTTCCTACTATCTCTTAAAGACAGAATAGCTTTCTTTACAAAATATATAAAACCTCAACCTTTGTGACAGTCTAAATAAGAGCTACTGAGACACTAAACAGCAAGAACCTAAATTTAAAATGAAGAGTCTGAAGTGGGATACTATGGTCTATGGCTCCAATCATATTTGAGCTTTTCACACATTACTATCCACAGAATTCTGACTATCATCAAATTCTTACCTTCTACTCTGATTGTGATTTACCTATTTTTATTCCAAAACTCTGAGCTCTCACTCTCATTTGTATATGTTGGATAGTACCATCTGGGGACCACTCATTACCTAACTTGTGGTCTCTCTCCACTGTTTGCCACAATCTTGCCATCAGAACCTGTACTTGCCTCTGAGGTGGATAGCTACAGGAGAGGAATAAGCAGATATTCCTCCCCCTTACTTGTGTCATGGTGTCTCCAATTGCATCATAGGACAATGTTCTGCTGTATTGCCTCAAGATACATTTTCTGTAGATGTGGCACTCTGCATTAAAGCATACAGATCTTGTGTGTTTTGAAAAGGATTGTTTCCCAATAATGAACGGAAGTAACTGAATTCTTTTATCACTTTCTTTATTCCTTACAAACAGACGTAGTTTATGATCCTGAGGTATTCCTTTGCCTAGTTTCTATACTGGAGAAATTTCTGATTTCTGCTGAAAAACAGAGAAGAAGAACAGTTGTGTATCTGGCATCAACAGTACGTAACCCAGAGACATATCATCAATTCAAAATGGAACTTGGTAAGTAACCGCAACCATTGGAGAATATGGCTGTGATTCTCCTTTCCAGTGGGATTAATGGAGTGGAATACTGTGTCACCCAAAATTCACCTCCGGTTCATGGATTGAGGATACTTCATTAAGTTAGCAATGCAGGTTCCCGATCAAATTTCCCACCAAAATTGAGCACAGTTCAGAGTTGGAAGGTTTTGACTTGCTTTTCTCATAACTATTAAACTAAATAACAGGAATTAAACCTGTCCCAACACCTTGCTAACTTTCAAATGGACACCTGAACCCCCCCCTCTCTCCCACCAAACAAAATCCTGACCTGATTCCACCCCCCTACCCAAACAAACCACAACAACCAATCCACCCTGTCCTGTCACCCACTGCCATCCGCAAAACTAACCCTATCCATGACCCATCTACCTTACTCCCTCACTCATTCCCTTTTCTTCCATCTGTACCCACCTGGCATCTTACCCCCTCAGTCACCTTGCATTCTTCTTGTAGTAGATGGGCAAAGTGGCTTTTGGACTTTTAATCCCATGGAATTAGGCAACAATTGCTGTAAAAGGAGGGTTTTTGAGGTACGTTGTGGCACAGTTTCACACTGATCCATTGCACTGCTGTGATTTGACGGATTGTTTTGGTTATGAAAACTGCTGTCTCAGAGGCTTTGGTAGAAAGAGGGATTCTGACCCTTTACTGCATTTTCATTGGTTAATTACATTTCATTGCAGATTATACTTCAACAATCTTTATTTTGATTTCTGATTATCACAGCTATCTTGTGTCTAGTTTCTATTTTGCAAGTGAGGATTCCTTTGAAGCTTTCATCATTTCCTCTAGGTTTTTAGGAGCACAGGAGACAAGAAAGGGAAATATGAGAATGTGCTTTTGACCTGCATGTGATTACATAGTTAGATGTATACAGACAATGAATGACATCTTTAGACAGACAGACTTTTTCAAATTGGAACAAAAAAAAATTCAGTGAAGTGCACTGGAGCCCCAAGCTCTCTCCGCTGCTGAGATTTTCAATTTGAGCCTGGGTTAGTTATAAGCACATTTGATATTGATTGGAACCTTGGTGCTCTGTAACTCTATGTCCTCCTTCACCTCATGTGGCTTTTAACAGTTCATTGCACCATTTGCCCTGTTCAGCCCATGCCAGTTTTCATACAGTCCCATTTGTACACTTCATTCCTGTAGTGCTGCAGGCTTATTTTTCTCAAGTGCCCATCCAATTTACTTTAGAAATGATGGTGTCTGCTTCTATCAACCTCATAGGCGGTGAGGTCCAAGTAATTTCGACTTGTTCTCTATGAATTGCTTCCAAACATCCCTTCTCCTGCCACTCAGTTATACAACACAAACAGACCCTTCGGTCCAACTCGTCTACGCAGACCAGACATCCCAATCTGACCTAGTCCCATTTGCCAGTATTTGACCCTTCCTATCCAGATGCCTTTTAAATGTAATCGCACCTGCCTCCACCACTTCCTTTCTTAGCTCACTTTCTCAATTTTTAGTTCTTGTCAGATAATGAGCTTCACCCAAGACCCCAGATGGTCTGCTGTCCTTGTTAGCAGCTCACATTTCAATTAAATCACTGACAAAATGTTTTTCAGCCTCAGAATGCACAAAAAAAGTACTAGTAGAAGATGTAATAAAGAAAATAAAACTTTATTTTTTCCTCAGTAAGAGGTTACATTGTGTTTTTTTTCCCTTTTCAAAACAGATAAAGTTGGAATTGGACACCAAGTGATTCCAGGTCCCACCAGAACAGTGTTTCCTTACAACAGATGCACAAAAATAGAGCTTCTGAAAATACATCTTGAAACTGAAATGTTTACTCATTGTCTCTGACATGAGAACAATTGACAGCTATAATAATAAAATAAGTTATGTTCATAACCTAAACACTCAAATGGTCTCTATTTTTCAAGTTTCACAACGACAGTGTGAAAAATAGTAAGTAGTAGGTATTTTGTTCTTGGGGCATTGCTGAGACCTTTTGTATCTATTCAGTATTAGAAAGCTGCAATCTGGAATCACTTCTGATATAGCTTTCTTTCCTGCTGCTGCATAAATTCCTGGTTTCCAGCAGCAGGAATTATAGGGTTGCTGTGTGGGGATCCGTTTTCAACCTATAGCAATAATTCATTAGGAAATGGATTTTCAATTTGACAATTCTAGTTTAGCACTTGTTTATTGATGTGTTGTTTTGTTTTAGAGCTGTGACTGAAATAGTTGCTGATATTCCATCAGTTAGTACAAAAATAGTATTTTACTAAATCTTGCAAAACTTCTCAGTAGTGATATAATCAAAATAAAAATCAACTGGGAACGAATATTTCAAGCTTACATGTTTTGGAAACTAGCAACAGGTATAAAAGACACAAACAGAAGTTGCTGGAAAAGCTCAGGAGGTCTGGCAGCATCTGTGAGGGAAAATCAGAGTTAATGTTTTGGGTCTGGCGACCCTTGGAGGGAATGGAATCTGGGTTTGGAGCCAACTGATTACGTTCAAAAGAAAATCAAGTGTCATGTTATTGGGAAGGTCTCCTTTCTCTTTGAAATTTTTAATTTTTCCAATTTCTAATCAGAATTTGAGAGACAAAGTGCATACTTGTAAAAAATGTCCTTGAGGGGGCAATTTAGTTTGAATTAAGAAACAAAATGATGATTTGATTCTTGGGTGTACTCTGTAGGCCTCGAAACATTGCGGGGAGTGGGGGGAGAAAGAGGATTAAAATTTGCAGGGATCTTTGATATGCAAAAACTACACAAGTGATAGAGGGATCTGAATTATCTAAATTGCTATTGGGATAACGAATAAAGGGTAAGGGGGAGGGGGAGGAATTTTTGACATGTATTCAGGAGAACATTCTTGATCAGTACTCAGTCCAACTAGAAAGGAGGCAGTACTGGAACGGGAGTCAGCTTCGTCCTCATGGAAAGCATGAGTAAGTCCTCTGTATCTATATATTTACAACAATAAGTTGAGAAGGCAGAACGGCTTGTAATAACTTTCTAATCTTGCCTGGAAATGAGGGAGATGCCAGAAGATTAGAGAATGGTAAATGTTACACACTTATCCATGAAAAGGTCCAGGGACAGTCCCAGCAACAATCCCCCGTTTAGTTTAACATCGGTAAGTAAGAAACAATATTTCGAAGAAAATCTTCACCATGCACTTGAAGAGGTTTGAGTTAATTAAACAGAGTCCCCAAAGATTGGTAAAAGACAGAATGTGCTTGACTAATTAAGTGGATTTTTTGATCAAGTAACAGAAGGGTTAAATATTACATAAGATTGGTTAACTTAATTGAGGCTCAGAATACAAGGAAAGTGACAAATTGGATTAAAAAACTGATCTCATACAGAACACCTCAAGACATGGTAAATGGTTCTTTATCAGATTGATGGGTGGCAGACAATGGTGTAACCGGAGGGTCAGTGCTGGGATTATTGCTTTCATTGCTGTATATAAATGACTTGAATCTTGGTACAGAGTAGAAGTACAAAATTTGCTGAATTGGCCAAACCTGGAGGTGTGGCATACACTAAGGATGAGACCAATCGACTGCAATATGGTATAGATGGCCTAATAGAATGGGCAGACAAGTACCCAGTTTAGTTACAAGGTGAAGTTGGAAAAGATGGGGTTGTTTTCAATACAAGGGAGGTTTGATAAAAGTTACAAAATTATTAAAGATTTGGAATTAATAAACAAGGAAAAATTATTCCAATAGCTGCTTCTATAAGAATGAGGGGACACATTTAACATTTCGGGCAAAAGATGTATGGGAAATGTGAAGAAACTATTTAGGGACTGGTAATAACCTGGAACACACAGGTGGGGCAGAATGGGGAAGGTGAAACAATGATTTCAATAGGAAATTAGATGAAAACATGAAGGAAATAACGTTGCAGGGATTGAACAGGGGAGTGGAACTGCCTGGACTGGTCTGAGGAGAGCTGGCACCAACTCGATGTGACACCTATGCTCTAAGTAACTATGACATTTAAATCACCAAATGAGGCGATTTAAAATGTTCATAATTATCAGAATTTTCGATTAAAACTGACTAATTACTTTTAAAACTTGTTAAAAACCCGCTTAAAAAACACTCCCAATTCTTACGCAGCCTCAAATATTTCAATAAATTTACAAATCAAAATTTATAATCCAGAAATTATCTAGTCTTTATTGGTCCACTGAGACAATGTCCAGCACTGCTGCTCTAGGTTTATTCTGAACAGAGGTTTCTGTTGATTGATCAGCTCATGATCCTGCTGGGTATAGACAATAACAGACAGACTTGATGGTCAGCACTGCTTACTCATCCCCAAAACAACAGTCACAAACTTCAATTATTTGCTGCCAGCAGAGGACGTACTGTTTCATCCCAATTCTCATCCCACTGAACCATCTTTGATTCCTTCAGGTTTCTTTTGAATACACCTAGTTTGTTCTTTTCATTCTGGAAGTCTGTAAAGAGAAGCTGAAGAGAATAACATTTATAAGCTAAGTATAAAGTTCAAATAGCTAAAAGATTTGCATATTTTACTTGCAAATTATTGACCAAAACGTCAAATCAAAATTTTATTCTTATAAATTGCAGGTCAAAGTAACAGTATCATACATGAAAAGAATGATTGCTTGGGCCCCCTACTGAACAATTACATTTACATAATTCTAAATTCTTTAGTAATACAGAACTTGAATATTCCCAAAAAATACACATTTTGTTGAAGCTTTCTATATTGCACACATCAAAACAATTCACAAGAATTATTAATACAAAGAGAAAACACTATTTATATTGAGTGTTCTGGTTGTGCAAGTGGACTGATTAGTGGAGGTGTTGCCATGGAGAATGCACCAGTTAATCATGATTGACAGCTAACTGCTAAATTAAATTTTCAACAAGGAAGGTCGACTGATTAGTCAAGACATTGTCCTGAGAAATAAACCAGTGAATGACTGTAACCTGCTTTGTTGCATTGAACTGAGCGCAGTGTGTGCACATTCTGTTTGCAAAGAACAGGATTCTCTATATTAATATACATAGCTTCCAATACAGGCAAGTGCGCCATAATCTGTTCCTAAATTGGTTGTCAGCATAAACCCTCATGCACTCAGGATTATATAAAAAATGTAGTCGAATTTTGAAATCACATCTAAGGTTGGACACTGAGTTTTGCAAGTGCCAGCTGCTGAGGTACAGTCAGTATTTTACTTGTTGCAAAACAGCCAAAGGGATGTGAAGTTTGATACAATCTTTGAGAAGTGCAGGCTATCTACCTGGCATCATACTGGCACTGAAATTCAGATACCACATTACTCATTTGTGTGGCTGGCAGAATGTCTTGTTGTCCATCTCACAAAATCATGAATGGTCTTAAAACCATTACTTCTGATCCAGAGATGTGCTCAAACTACTTCAGATTATCATGGCAAGGTAATGTCTCTCAAAAGTCTGAGAAACAGATAAAGTTAACTGTTTCATGCTGTTACTAAGCAGTAGGAACACAAGTGGTGTATGCTGATAATCGGACAAAACAATCCACAAAACAACATTTGCTACATAATACCAAGCATGCTGAGTAGCCTGGAGGATATGTTTATAGAGTGTACTTGGGGCAGTTTGTTAGAACAATACTTTCTAGAAATTACAAAGCAAGGAACCAGACTATTTTGGACCTGGTAAGTCTGTTATGGGATAGGACTAATGACAAACCTCATAATAAGAACAGAGAACATGGATAAACAGGTACAAGATACTAGCTACCTAAATAGATAAGAACAAGAATAGCAGGATGGATGAAAACCTCACTACAGCAGTATAGTGCAGAATGCCATTCAAGTAGGGTGAGGGAAAAGGAATGTGGTAATTGAACAGCAGTAGGTCTGATAATTGTATAAACTAAGGTTACTTGTACATAAGTGGGGAACATTCATTGAATAATTACTTGTGCACATTTTATTTATATTCAAGGGTATAAACAGGCACTTAAGGGGCCCTTGAGATGCAATGGTAGTGTCCTAACCTCTGAGCACAGAGGTCTGTGTTCAAGTCCCACCTGCTCCACAGGTGTGTCATAATTTTTCATCATCCTGTTCAGAAGTATATCTAGGAGCAGAAAGGTGCTAATGGCTCTTGTGATGCAGTGACAGTGTCCCTACCTCTGAGCCAGAAGGCCCGGGTTCAAATTCCACTGATTCAGAGGCGTGTCACAACATCGCTGAACAGGTTGATTTTAAAAAAAAACAAGCACTTAATAATGTTGGTGGTGGATTCGAGGATTAGGAGCTATACATTTGTAATGTCTCAGTTTGTGATTAAATCGAAATGAGGAACTTAAGACAATTAGCATCAACACAGAAAATTACTGGAGAAAATACTCAAGACTAAAATCTGACAAATTCACAAGACCTCATGGCCTGCAATCTCAGGTTCTAAAAGAGATTACTGGAGAGATATCGGATATACCCGTTTGATTTTCTAGATTATGGAACAGTCTCAGCAGATTGGACATTAGCTATTGCAACACCTCTATTCAAGGAAGGAGGGAGAAAATAAACAGGGAATAACAAATAAATTAACCCAACATGAGTCAGTGGAAAAATGCTGGAATCTATTATAACGTAAGCCTAATCAATGCATTTGGAAAATCACTATAATTATACAAAAATCAACATTTGTCAGAAAATGCTAGAAAAACTCAGCAAATCAGGCAACATCTTTTGAGAGAAGAACAGATCTAACATTTGTTCTTTGTAGAGGCGGGCACGATAGCGTCATTTAAGGTGTATCTAGACAGATACATGAATGGGCAGGGAGCAAAGGGATAGAGATCCTTGGAAAATAGGCGACAGGTTTAGATAGAGGATTTGGATCGGCGCAGGCTTGGAGGGCCGAAGGGCCTTTTCCTGTGCTGTAATTTTCTTTGTTCTTTTGTTCGTTTGTTCTTTGTTCATTTGCATTGCTGACTTCTGCACCTATATCGTACGTTCTTATGTGTTTTGATTACAAAGTCCAGTTGAACTGACACAGCAAGTAAAACATTGAGAATACTTAAATTTTAAGATCAGTAGAAATAGTTACAAGTTCAGGAGGATGACACATTTAATTAATCGGAATGCATTTCTGGTATTGAAACCCCACGCACAACTGTGTTTAAGTGCCTTAGTTAAGTTACTAAAACCATCCAATGATGCTCCAAGTTGGCACCATACTGCTGCCTCACAGCGCCAGACACCCGGGTTCAATTCCAGCCTCGGGCGACAATCTGTGTGGGTTTCCTCCGGGTGCTCCGGTTTCCTCCACAGTCCAAAGATGTGCAGGCTAGGTGGACCGGCCAAGCTAAATTACCCATAGTGTCCAGGGGTGTGTAAATTAGGTGGATTAGCCAAGGTAAATGCAGGGTTACAGGGAAAAGGTAGGGGGATGGGTCTGGGTGGGATGCTCTTCGGAGGGGCAGCGTGGACTTGTTGAGCCGAATGGCCTGTTCTCACACTAGGGATTCTGTGATTCTAGAATGTTGTCACACCTAGCAAAGATTTTAACCTAAGTGAAATTATTTTCAAATTTTATTTGGCTCTCAAAAGAATAGTGCTTACAAGTTTTATCTCCTCATTAACAGAAGTGTTAGAAGCTATGTTGTAATGTGGCCAGGGAGGGCTTACCAAGAGGGTAATAGAAAGAGACTCACATTTATAACAGCCATATAAAATGAACTCATTGAATGCTATCACAATTAGGTTCTTGCAAGTAAACAAAATCTTCAAATACCATATTTGCTTGTACTATAAAGTATAGCTACACATTTAATTCCAGAATGTAACAGAATACCATAAGTAAAGGGCAATCACTCCCAGTCTTACTATATATACTGTAATAAAACAGATTAACATCAATAGAACAACTCCTGTAAACATCAGATCCATGGATGAGAATGTTATCACCTGATTTGAGCAGTACACAAATTCACTATGGATAAATCAGTTTACCACAGAAAATACTGTAGTTATATCCTACAAGAAGTGTGCTACAGAAGAGGCAACTAAAGTAAGTGTATTCTAATAACCTGCATGCTGCTGGAAGACAACAGAGACAAAGTTCAAGATGTGTAAGATTTCACCCAACGGATTGTCTGCTTTTGTGGGCACAGATCAGTTGTATGTTTGCTTGGATTGATGTATTAATATTAGACAAGGAAGAGTGCACAAAATGTGCTGAGCCTTGAATTGGCAGTAAATTATTAAAGTTTCTTACACCAGACACTGACTTCTTCATTATTGGAATAAGACAGAAGTCAAAATCGCATCTATGTGAAAAGGATTACAGGCACAATTGGTGGAACAAAGAGATAGTTATTAAAGAAGCAGACAGCCAATATTTCTTTTAGCATTGTATTTCATTTACCTTTAGTTGCACGGCCAGTTCATGAGAGTTTTTAAATATTAAACCATTTTCTTCAGTTTTCACAAGTTCATGTAAACTGTAAAGACAGGATCAAAAACTTTAATTATTTTAACTACCAGAGAAAGGAAGGTCTTAGGGGAGGGGGTGGCAAAGAGGGGGGAAAAATGACTGTTAATAGAAAACACTGAAAAATCTGCCACATCAAGGAACTAGTTTGAAATGGTGATTGGTTGGCAACAATAATTACGGTGGAGGTCGAAACTTAAATAATTAAAAGAAAGTTATAAATGTCAAAATTAGTAAAAACTATCTATTTCTCTCCAGGCAGGAGGGTTCAGTGCTGAACTGCCATTTGGGTTTGTGCAGTCACTGAAGCTACTATACTGACAGCATGTGATGTTCTGCTAGCTCTAAAACTCCAGATTAATGTTACAGCTAATCCCAGCAAGGGACTGTGAAGGTAACAGCTGCATACTTAACAGCATGCAGGCCTTATGAATTGATAACATTTTAACAAGGCAAAACCCTGTTAAGAGATACCCCTGCTTCTGCAGCACAAGATTCAGTTACAACTTTATTTTACTGACGAATGTAAATTAATAAAATCAACTCTCAACACAAACAGAGACTGGCAAGTCTGCCTAAGCATGATTTAAATGACTGGAAATCAGTTAACAGGGTTCCTTAAAATTAAAAGAAGAGTAATGTTAACTAACAATCTTATAAGAACTACGCTTCTCTTCAAAACCATTAGGGGAAGGTTAAAGAAAGAATGAGAAAGATAATGTTCGCCATACACGTACCATGGGAAGTCAATTGCACATACAGGTAAATGGCAACCAAACATGTCTACAACTTTCATTGGCAAATCCAGTCCACTGGTTGATTTATGAAGACAAACTCCTAGATCACCAGATCCTGTAAAATTATAACAAAACAGAAGTTAAGAAGAAAATATACGTTAAGTTTATAATTATCTGATTTGTTCTGTGTGGAAGTGGTTCAATGGTGACTGACACCACCATCAAGAATGTTTGCCAAATTGAGCTCCAATCAACTTGTTGAAAACAGATTGATAAGATCCTTGGTCAATCACAGGCCCCGATGGTGCAGTCCTGCCTTGTCAGAAGCAATTGCCCAATCAGAGGTTATTGTCATTGTCCTTCTAGATGGTAACGATCATGGGTTTGGAAGGTGCTAAGAAGCCTTGGTGAATTTCTGCAGTGCATCTTGTAGATGATACACACTGCTGCTATTGAGAGTCAGTGGTGGAGGGAGTGAATGTGGTGCCAAACAAGCAGGCTTTTTTGTCCTCAATACTGTTGAGTGTCCCGAGTGTTGCTGGAACTGCACTCTTCCATATTCTGTGAACATGACTGAGAGGGCTGTTGCTGGACTAATCCGAGATAGCTCTCCCAGTTTGGCACTACTGCCCATTTGTTAGTAAGGAGGATGTTACAGGTTGACAGGGCTAAGTTTATTGTTATTGTTAGCAGTGCCTGGGTTGGTTCCAGGTGGTCCATTCAATTTGATATTTTTTTGAGACTTTTTAGTGGTTACATACAATTGAGTGGCTTCCTAGCCCATTTCAGAGGCAATTAAAAGTCAACCAAATTGTTGTGGGTCTGGAGTCACATATTGGCCAGACAAGGTAAAGAGGACAGATTTCCTTCCACAAAGGACATTAGTGAGCCAGATGGGGTTTTACCACATACAATGGATTCATGGTCATAATTAGATTTTTAATTCCAGATTTTTTAAGAGCAAATTCCACAATCTTCCATGGTGAGATGCGAGCCAAGTTCCCAGAGCATTACTTGGATCTCTGGGTAACTAGTCCAGCAACATTACCACTACACCATTACCATAAAGTAAAATCCAGCATTGATTTAAAATTATTGCAAATGTAACACAAACAAGACTCGTATGTAATATTGAGTAATTTTACCTAGCAACACTGGATAATCTTCAGCTTCAAGCCACAAAGTGCATATGTGGACATGTTTAAAATGCAATTTTTCAATGAGATTATTATAAAATTCCTGTAGTGGACCTTTCCCTGAAAAACAAGGAAGTAAATTTAACAAGTTTAAAACATAAAATTCATATTCAGCTGCATGAAACTGGATGGATTGGCTGTAGCTGTTGTGGGGGTGGAGGAGGAAGGTGGTGGTAGCAGCAAGGTGGGAGCAAGATTAAAAGGGTCATGATGGGAGGAAAAGGATGAAGGAGGAGAGATGGCAAGGCAGAAAGAGGGAGAAAGCCAGGTTAACGCAGAATTGGCAAGGTGAGGATGAGGAGAAGGCAAGAGATAGAGGACATGACAGCAACTCACATGTTGAGGGCATTTACGATCCGGACAAAAGAACTGAGTGCATTGTTGCTAAGTTTGCAGATGATACAGAGATAGATGGAGGGACAGGTAGTGTTGAGGAAGCAGGGGGACTACAAAAGGACTTGAACTGGCTGGGAGAAGGGGCAAAGAAGTGATAATGGGAATATGATGTGGGAAAGTGAGAGGTCATGCACTTTGGTAGGAAGGACAGAGTCATAAACTATTTTCTATACGAGGAAAGGGTTTAGAAATCTGAAGCACAAAGGGACTTAGGAGTCACTGTTCAGAATTCTCTTAACGTTAACATGCAGGTGCAGTTGGCAGTTAGGAAGGCAAATGCAAAGTTAGCATTCATTTCAAGAGGGCTAGAATACAAGAGCATAGATGTACTGCTGAGGCTGTATAAGGCTCTGGTCAGACTGCATTTAGGATACTGTGAGCAGTTTTGGGTCCAGTATCTGAGGAAGGACATGGCATTGGAAAGGGTCCAGAGAAAGTTTACCAGATTGATCCCAGGGATGAAGGGCTTGTCATATGAGGAGTGGTTGAGAACTCTAGGTCTGTACCCACTGGAGTTAGGAAGGATGAGTGGGGATCTCATTGAAACTTACAGAATACTGAGCAGCTTGGATTGAGTGGATGTGGAGATGATGTTTCCACAAGTCTGAGAGTCTAGGACCTGAATGCACAGTCTCAGAGTGAAGGAACAATCCTTTAGAACTGAGATGATGTGGAATTTCTTTACCCAGAGGGTGGTGAATCTGTGGAACTCACTGCCACTGAAGGCTGTGGAGACCAAGTCACAGTATATTTAAGGCAGAGATTAGATATGTTCTTGATAAGTAAGGGGATCAAGGGTTATGGGGGTGAAGCCAGGAGAATGGGGTTCAGAAACATATCAGCCATAATCGAATGGTGGAGCAGTCTTGATGGGCCAAAAGGCCTATTTCTGCCCCTATACATTATGGTCTTACGATTTTAATAGAAAAAGAACAGAAGTATACCTGTAATGGCACATACAAGAGGTGGTAATGTTATACCACTGTTCTTGAAACCTTCATATTCTGTCAAAAGAATACAATGAGCATTTATTATTTTAAAATAATGTGCAAAACATTACCATAATTTCAACGGCAACTTGTTATATAGGCAATCCATGTATCTGAGTAAAAGGTGTTTCACAAATAACTGGCTGACCACAAAACTAACTACTCATCACAATATTTTAACCAATCATTTGGTCAAGGAGCCTACCATGGCTTGATGCAAGCACCCTCAGTAAAATCAGAAGGTTCAAGCACCACTTCAGAGATAGGTAGGCGAATGCTTGATGAATATTGCAGTTTCAATTTTGCTCTTTAAACTGAAGAGGTGTGTCAAACGCAGATGTAATTTATTATCTAGTTAAAATTAATGAACTAGATAAACAAGCAAATCTATAGCATAGCAAAGTACATGCTGGGTTGTGATTTATAGTGGGATTTTAGCTGTAGTAGCACGATACCAGTCAACCATATCTGCATTAAGTCCTTCAGTTTGAGGAAGAACGCTGTTAGGCTGTAATCTGAGCTAGATATATTATGATGCATCAGAAACAGGAAGAGTTACCTGGCCACTTTTCCCAGAAAGGCTGCCCCACCCCCCAAGGTTAAGCAATTGGGTAGCTCCTTTACCAACCAGCTTAAAGAATTGTGAAATTATCAGCACAAGGATTGAGAAAGAAGAGTGAAAAAGAGAGGAGTAGAATTGAGATCCAGACAGAGAAAATGCTAAATTACAAATTAATACTTGAGGTTTTTAATTAAACTAAGTAAAACTTGAACGAATTAAACTCCACATTTGTAAGGTAACCTTCAGTTCCAGAGACACTGGCAGTAACATTGCTAGCAATTGAACAGAAGATCGATTGATTGTGACAAAATAGTTCCCGGTTGATAAATAGTTGATAAATTCTTGGTTGCATAGCGAAAATTTTGTGAAGTTCAATTCCCCAATGAGCTACCTGAAAACTTGTCAAATCTAATTTCTAGCAGTTAATACATTCTTGGTGATTCTTATTTTACTCATGTCACACTCCAGAGGTTTATTATTCAAAATCAAAGTCAAAACAAGTCAAAATCTAAAAGAAAAATCTAAAACGTAAACCCAAATTTCGTAGCTGAAGAGACCCTCAAAACCATTAAGAGACTGAAGGGTGCACCACAAAGATAATCCAAAGTTAGTGGGGAAATTGAAAACAGATTAATTTTAATATTTCCCTCAAGTAAAAATATTGAGTGAATAGCTTTTCCATAGTTTGAAATGTCTGTAAATATTTACAAAGGAAGGAAAAGTTTTATCTATAATAAAGTAGGTATCCAGTCAACATTTGTGTAAATATATACAAAATTCTTTAATGCAAGGAAGATGCTGCACATTTAAATCAGAAGAAATACAAGTTAACAGAAACCTACCTTCCAAGGCTTTCAGCAGAATGGAAAAATCTTCATCCTCTGAAAAATCAAAACAGGATTATGTCACTAATGATTGAAGTCAAAAGCTTTTAAGACATTGAGCTTGTAGGCTAGCTCGCCGAGCCGGTGTATGATTGCAGATTTCGTCACAATACTAGGTAACATCGTCATTGCGCCTCCAGTGAAGCGTTGGTATTCTGTCCTGCTTGTTATTTATATGCTTCGGTTTGCTAAGGCGGGTTGGCATCACTTCTGTTACCTCTGCAACTGAGCACAAGAAGACACAACACAGCCAGACACAGTCACCCTACCGTATATCAGAGATGACCACAAGACTACTCAGACCCCTAGGTATTAGGGTAGCCCACAAACCAACAACCACCCTGTGACAGCTACTGACGAACGTAAAGGATCCTATACCCACAACCAATAAAACTAACGTAATATACAAAATACCATGCAAGGACTGTGACAAACGTTACATAGGCCAAACTAGAAGAAAACTGACAATAAGGATTCACAAACACTAACTAGCCACCAAGAGACATGATCAATTCTCACTGGTCTGAATACACATGGACAAAGAAAGACACGAATTCGACTGGGACAATGCATCCACAATAGCACAATCTAGGGAATTCCTGGAGACCTGGCATTCCAACCGGAACTCCGTCAACAAACACACTGAACCGCACCCAATATACAAACCACTGAAAAACAGAATTGGAAGTAATGCCAACCACCCCAGCAAACCGAGGCAAATAAATAACGGGTGACAAAATGTCTGCAATCAAACACATCGGCTCGGCGAGCAAGACTACAATCGCGTCCATAACCCGAACTACAAATCTTCTCAAAAATGTCATTTAAGACATTGGATATCCGAAGATTAGGAAGACAGTGCATCCGTTCATTTCTTGAACTTCTGTTCTCACTGCTTCAACATGCCTCCCAGAACCACCAAAGGGTCCCACTTCCTCACTTCCCACCTGATCAGCCTCAATATGCAATGGATAATCCCTCACCAGTCACACCAGCTCCAATGTGATGCAACCACCAATACATCTTTCCCTGCCCGTCCCTTTCAGCATTCCATTGGGACTGTTCCTTCCGCGATGCCTTAATTCATTCCCCAGTCTCTGAACACTCACTTCCTTCTTTCCTGTACCTTTCCATGCATACATAAAAGATGCCTCACCTGATGTTTTACTCCTTTTTCACTGACCAATACCCCAAACATTCCTTCCAAGTGAAGCAGCAATTTATCTGTATTTCTTGCGATTTAATACACTGTATTCACTGCTTGTGATGTAGTCTCCTGCACATTAGGGACACTGCTTTGCAGAACGTCTCTGCTCAGTCTGCAAGTACAACGTGAAGTTTCCAGTTGCTTGACATTTCAATTCTCAAACTTGCTCTCACTCTGATCCTTCTGTCCACAGCCAGCTACAATGTTCCAGTGAAGCTCAGAGCAAGCTCCAGGAACAGAACCTTTGTTTACGACATGGCACCCTACAGCCTTCTGGACTCAACACTGATTTCAACAGCTTTTGGTCCACTTTGTTCTATAGGATTTTTTTTTTCCTTTTTTTGCTTAGTCAGTCTTCAACCTTATTCCTTTCTTTATTTCTTCATGTTGCATCCAATATGTTTTAAGGCAGCGATTCACAGCTCACTTGCACGTGACCTTTGCTTCTTCATTTACCACTTTCTTTGGCTGTTGTACCATGAATCTTTTATTTCATTACCCCTGGCCTCCACACTATCAGAGATCTTTTTCTCTGTTCTTCCTCCCTCTCCCTTCTTCCACTGACTTAAAAATGCATACATTTTTATCTCTCAACCTGAAATATTAACTCTATTTCTCTCCACAGATGCTGCCCGATGTGCTGTGCTTTTCCAGCAAATTTTTAAAACTTTTTGTTTAGTACTACATGAAGACTCTATGAAGTTTATAAAATTTACAAAATCAAATGTGTAAATCCTGCATAAATGCAAATAAGAAAGTGTTATCTAGACAGTACGAGCTGGACTGCTAAGACTCCATTTGGATCTCAAATTGAACATCTAAAATCTAAGATAAGTTTTTCCAGAATACTGATCACGTAAGTTTCACCATATATTGCAAAGTAACACCCATACTTGCAGTTGTCACTGACTTTGCAGCTGAATTACAAAGACTTTAAAAAACATGGTACAAGTTACACAAAAATTTGGCAAGTTACTTTTAATTTATTGGGGTAGAGTTTCCATCTCTGGCAATTTTGTCAAAAGGGAACATATTTTTTGCCTTTAAGTTTCCCTCGAACTTATTTGCATATTGTCAGTAAATCTCATGAACTAACACAACCAAACAGCCTTTTAGAACATTTTCTTTAAGTTGTCTTTTAAAAATAGCCTTTGGCATATTTGTGAGATAAATTGGTGCTGTTGATGAATGCAGCAGGAAATGCACTCAATGCAAATAAAAAAGCATTTTGAACTAGTGTCTAGGCCACCTGTGAATTGCTCCATTTTAATTACTGGTTTTCCCCTCTGAATTGATATTCTTGTGAATTGTCCTGATGAGAACAAAGTGAAAAGCTTGGACAAATCATAGACAACAAGGCGTAGAGCTGGATGAACACAGCAGGCCAAGCAGCATCATAGGAGCAGAAAAGCTGACGTTTCGGGCCTAGACCTTTCATCAGAAATGGGGGAGGGGAAGGGGATTCTGAAATAAATAGGGAGGGGGAGGCAGATAGAAGATGGATAGAGGAGAAGATAGTTGGAGAGGAGACAGACAGGTCAGAGAGGCGGGGATGGAGCCAGTAAAGGTGAGTGTAGGTAGGGAGGTAGGGAGGAGATAGGTCAGTCCAGGGAGGATGGACAGGTCAAGGGGGTGGGATGAGGTTAGTAGGTAGGAGATGGGGGTGCGGCTTGAGGTGGGAGGAGGGGATAGGTGGGAGGAAGGGACGAGCTGGGCTGGTTTTGGGATGCAGTAGGGGGAGGGGAGATTTTGAAGCTTGTGAAATCCACATTGATACTATTGGGCTGCAGGGTTCCCAAGCGGAATATGAGTTGCTGTTCCTGCAACCTTCGGGTGGCATCGTTGTGGCACTGCAGGAGGCCCAAGATGGACATGTCGTCTGAGGAATGGGAGGGAGAGTTGAAATGGTTCGCGACTGGGAGGTGCAGTTGTTTAGTGCGAACCGAGCGTAGGTGTTCTGCAAAGCGGTCCCCAAGCCTCCGTCTGGTTTCCCCGATGTAGAGGAGGCCACAACGGGAACAGCGCTTGCAGTATACCACATTAGCAGATCTGCAGGTGAACATCTGCTTGATGTGGAAAGTCTTCTTGGGGCCTGGGATGGGAGTGAGGGGGGAGGTGTAGGGGCAGGTGTAGCACTTCCTGCGGTTGCAGGGAAAAGTGCCGGGTGTGGTGGGGCTAGAGGGGAGTGTGGAGCGGACAAGGGAGTCATGGAGAGAGTGGTCCCTCCGGAAAGCAGATAAGGGTGGGGAGGGAAAAATGTCTTTGGTGGTGGGGTCAGATTGCAGATGGCAGAAGTGTCGGAGGATGATGCGTTGGATCCGGAGGTTGGTGGGGTGGTACGTGCAGACGAGGGGGATTCTTTTTTGGTTGTTATTGCAGGGAGGGGGTGAGAGGGATGAGTTGCGGGAAATGCGGGAGACATGGTCGAGGGCGTTCTCGACCACTGAGGGGGGTGAAGTTGCAGTCCTTGAAAAACGAGG